AAAATCTTCGATACTGGTCTCCAGACAATCCACATTGGATGGATCCATCCAAGCAGCAAGGCTGCCAAAAGGTGATGGTGTGATGTGGTTTGTGGAAAGCTCATGTGCTACGACCATTCTTCTTTGATGAACATGTAACCGGTGAGACTTATCCGAACATGTTGAGAGACAAATTAATGCCTCAAATTGAGCGCTTAGGCAAGGGACTTCCGGACTGGTTACAGCAGGATGGAGCCCCTGCCCATTTTGCTACAAATGTTAGACATTTGCTGAATGGTACTTTTCCTCACTGGACTAGAAGAAGAGGTCATATGGAGTGGTCCCCTAGTTCAACAGACCTTTCTCCCCTTGATTTCTTTTTCTGGGGTATGTTAAAATAGAAAGTTTACTCAATGAAGATTGCAAATCTAAACCACCTGAGAGAACGCATTATCAGTAAGTGTGCTGAAATCGACGGCAATGTACTCCTATTCAATCGAGTTCACCAGAATTTAGCAAGGCGCATCGAATTATGCATTGTAAATAATGGGACCCATATTGAAAATATAATTTCTTAACATTGATAAATTGTTTTGTTCTTAAGGTATGTATTTATCCCCTATGTACCCAAATTTCGTGGACAACCTGTATATTGCGCAAAGCTCATATATAGAAACGAAAAAGCGCACGATAATTGGAACCTAAATTAAGATAATAATGGTAATTTAAATAAATTAATAAAATAATAAATTAAAAATATATTCAGAAGAGCAGTTTGGCGAGCATACGTAGGCTGCCGATAAATTCTCGTCCAGCCAGTTAATTTATATGGGAACGGGGTACAAGTTAAACGTGTTCGACTTTTCGTACAAGTGAGTCGTGGGGACACGTTTTAACGTGTACCCCGTTCCCATATGAATTTACTGTCCCGACGAGAATTTATAGAAAGTATACGTACGCTCACCAAGCCAGTCTTCTGAATGCTGTACTGGGAATTTTAGCAACTCTACGAATATATTATCATTACCAAAGACTCCCTATTACAGAATTCTGAGGTTTAGATTTTCGTAGTGTTACCAAAAGGGTGAAGCAGACGTTACGGAAAAAAATAATCTTACATATATTATTTAGCCTACATTTTACATCATTACTGATTATTGCCACTATTAACTAGGTAATGGCAGGGAGACGTGCGTGAACTAAATCAGGCCTGCTCAAGACGGCTTGTGGTAAGGAGTCCACATATGCGACAGCTTAGTTTATTCGTCTAGACGTCCATGCCCCTCTTGCGGCTGCCAGACACCGGCTAATCTTCCAATCAAAACGAACTAACCTCCGCTCCAACGCCCGCCCAATAACAGCTTATTAATTAAATTCGTGTTTTAGGCCACAATACCGTGCGTGTTGAGGGCGCAGGAAAATCTGTTTAGCAGTGGGAGCAAGAAGAAGTGGCCTGTTTTCTTGCAGTTGAATGACACTTTCTGCCGTCTGGAAAGTTGAGCACTGAATGATTCCTAGATAGGCCACAGTTGTCCCGACTATACTTACCAGTCAATATGAGGGAGTTTTGAAAAGTGTTAATGTCTAGAAGGTTAACCCTAACAGCTACGATCTTCAAGGCCCATGGTTCCTTTAGCTGATGAGAGAAGACGGTGGGAAGGCCAGATTGCTAGGAACAGTATATTGTGTATTCTGCAGAAGGATAGGAGAACATATGGAAAGAGATTTGACCCTCGGACGACTGCTGTCCGGCTGCCAGGTCGTCAATTCAGGAATGACAAGAGCGTCAGGAATTGCCGAAATGTCGGCGCATACTCTGTTACGGCGTCCAATCACGCGGCTGATGTCTAGATTAGAGGTCGCGCGCGACCGTGAGATAGGCGAAGGCTAGCGTGGGCGCCGGC